ATATGTAATACTTTCAACAATAAAGATAAATTTTTAAAAATACTTCTAAATGGGATAAATGAATAACCTCATTCCAATTCAAGTCCAATTCTGCCAACAAATGAGCTTGCCACAAAGAATATATATATATATATATATATTAGAATTATTTGGAGGTCAAAAGGCAGATAGGAAATTGTGGATAATGAAAGAAGTTAGTACAGCTGATTCTTGAAAAATGCAGGGGTTAGAAGTGCCAAACCCCAACACAGTTGAAAATCTGTGTATAACTTTTGACTCCTCCCACACTTAACTACTAATAACCCACTGTTGACTAGAGAAGCCTTAGCAATAAGATACAGTCGATATTTTATTTTATGTGTTATATGTATTATATACTCTATTCTTACAATAAAGTAAGCTAGAGAAAAGAAAATGTTAAGAAAAGCATAAGGAAGAGAAAATGCATTTACAGTATTTATGAAAAAAATCCTTGTATAAGTGGACCTGCACAGTTCAAACCTGTGTTGTTCAAGAGTCAATTGTACTTATTTAGTGCTTGCCATGTGCCAAATATTGTTCTAAGTAGTTTATATGCCTTAACTTATTTAGTTTACCTATGATGGTATGAGGTAGGCATTATTATTACCATCCTCACTTTACAAATGAGGAAAATGAAGCTCAGAGAGGTTAAATCACTTGCGCAGGGTTCCAAAGCCAGTAAGGGGCAGAGCTGGGATCCTAACCTAGGCAGTTGGACTTCAGAATCTGTGCTCTTAACTACCTTCAGAACCTACTCCATGGGGTTAAAAGGAGGCTTCAAATGCTTACAGGGGCCAAACAATTCACTCTGAAAACAGTAACTCATGAGCCAATGCTCCACATACAGGGAGCAGCTTACACTGTTCCAGCTGATTGTTGCCATGTCAGAATGAGGATCCAGACTTTTCTGTTCTTCCGAGAAGAGCCAGAAATCCAGCTTTTTATTTTAAATCTGACCTTTTAATGTTGGCAACTAATTAAAAAATTGTTACAAACATTATGTGGGTCAAATAAAATTCATCTGCAGTCTGGATCTAGCCCATGGCTGCCAGTTTGCAAGCTCTGCAGTGAGGAAATTGATGCAAAAGTGCTTTGTAACCTTCAAAATATGTTCTAGAAATAGACAGTGTCATTTTAGGGTTAAGATTTTTTTTCTTGATTGTAGCCTAGTTTTTTTTAAAACTGGTGTTCCTGGAGATGAAAAGTCGGAATTTAAATAGAGACATCAGTGAACTTGAATGCTTCATTCCTTTGGCAGGCTGAATACATGAGAAGCCTAGGTGTACTGGACGGGCTAAGCCTCAGAATTCCTGACACACCCATTGCCTCTTTTAAGGAGTTTCCATCCACAGATCCTAGCTGAGGGAAGTAGAAATTTCTTATGAATAGGTGGCTATGTTTGGTACCATGTGATTCCACTTCTCCCTGGCAATAGCTGATTGAGCCAGGAGAGGGCATCTGATCTAAGAGCAGTCACTCTATAGGCTGGCAAGCAGCCTATGAGGGAACCTGGGATGAGAATTTTGCCCAAGAAGCACAATTGTGACTAAATGTGGACCAATGAAAGTCTCTTGCTTGGGGAGTTTGAACGCCAGACCTAGAGGGAGTGAGCAGTTGGCACAGGGGCAGTAACTGAACACAGAGAAGGTAGGCAGCAGGGTCCATTAATAAGCAGGACCAGGAGAGATTACTGAGCTTCAAGTAGATGCCAGACACTAAACATTTTTGTTGTTGTTTAAAACATTCACAGAGTCTGTGAGAAAGCTACTGTTATTATCCCTGGTTTCCAGACAAGGAAACTGAGGTGAAGTAGTTTAAGTGCTGGGGATGGAGCCCAGGCTTGTTTAATGTTAAAATGAGGGCACACAGACTCCTAAACCAGTGGTTCTTAAACTCTAGAGTGTTTCAGAATCGCTTGCATCAAAATCTGAGCAACTTATCCTTACACAGAAACGCAGATGTACAGCCAAAACACTGAAGGGAATTACTTTGATATTCAAGGGATTTCTGCATAGGTGACTACCGTGGTCTCATCCCACAGTATGGTGGGCACTAGTGGGATTCAAATGGGCATCACAGGAGGACAACTCATCAGCAGCTCTGGAGGAACCTATCTGATTGGCAATTCAATGGGGAATTCTGGTCACTCAGTGACACACACTCCTGGTGCCTCCCAAGCAACAGCCAATATGAGCCCTCAAATGAAACTCCTCAGAGAGTACCACAAATCTTCTGCTTCCTTCACTAAATCCTAAATTGCCTGAAGGTTCTGCGACCTCATTTTTAAAGCACTTAATAAAATGGTACTTTGAGTGAAAAAAAAAAAGTGGATTCCTTGGCCTGCCTCAGACCTATTGAGTCTGACTCTTTGAAAGTGAAGATCCCTCCCCAAGTATTCATCTGCATTTTAACAGCCCTCCCAGGGTACATCCGAAGCAGAAATGTACTTTGAGAGAGTATGGCAGGTACTGCATTGCCTTCACCTTCAGAAGCAAGGTTAATGTCAACAGATAAGGTCAAACTCCAATTTAAACTCTTTTGGGAATGGGGCTAATTCTGCAAATAAGAGGACATCAATTTGTCCACTTTTTTGATCCAGGAAGTATACACTGACACCGATTATCTGAGGGAAGATGGCAGAATTGAGATGGATGTTCAGCAGTTTGTATAGAAGACCCTATCTGCTCTCCAGGGTACAGAGCTCATAGCTCTTATATATTCACTAAGCATTTTTCATGAGGAGCACAAATTGCAGGAACTCAGTGCACTGGCGACAAAGAACAGGAGAGAAAATTACCAAATGCAGAGAGATAGATTGTAAAACATGGGGGTTTTCAAATGTAAACCCACTCCCTAAGCTGATGCTAGAGGTTCTTCTTGGTCCTAGAATAATTGTGTAAGAATTGCTTCCATGGCTTTATTTATATATGTCATTGCTAAAAATGTTGTATAGGACAGAATCAAGGCTAGCAGCTTCTTCTAGGTTGTTGTAGAACCCCACTCTGTTGGTGGTATTGAGCAAGTTTTGAATTCATCTACCTTTAGGAACTCTCCCTAGGAAGAAAAGTAATAGTTTGAAGATTGCTTGGAGAGCCTCAAGTCAGAAACAGGTTTGTGGCCCAAATGCTTAAAAATACCAGGCACATATTCCTACAAGAGGGCTGTATGGTCCAAGGGGTGGTATAGGTCAAATGCTTTGGCCAAGTCAGGCCTCAGCAGGGCTTGAATTTACACTTGGCAAGTTTTATGTCTCTCATGCTCCTTTCCATGGACACTTTCTTTATCTTTGTTAATATCCTCACTTAGCATAAGGTCAAACTCTGTTCTTCCCTGTTCTGGCCAGAAAGACTTCCTGTTTTATAGGTATCTGATCTTATCTGTGTTGATATTTTAACTGGGAGTGATTCCCTAAAGCAGGTCCTTGGACAAGTGCCCATCCTCCTGAAAAATCGTAGCAGTCTACGATGCAAAGAGAAAGCCTGAAGACTACAGAGTCAGTGTTTTCTAAAGTGAAATTCATTTCACTTTAAAGGACCATCCTTTATTCTGAGATTATTTCCTATTCTTTTAGTATTTAAAGAGTCATTTCTTTTTGTGAAATGAGAATTTGAGGTTAATGCCTTTACTTGGAAAATAAAAATCTAACAACCCGCTGCTAGTGCCTCCATTTTTCGGTTTGCAATAGCTGCCATTCTGGGCACCTGGTCTAATTTGAACAGTTCTGCTAGGACTTCCAGGTACCTCCTATCACCACTTATATCTTAAGTGCTTATAAATTACCTGCTTCATAATCTGTGGCAGAATCTCTCAGAGGATTGACATCAAGCTCACAGCTCTGGAGTTTACAATATACTGGTCTGTAGTTTCCTTATTTAAGAAAGTTGGGATGCTGCCCATTTGCAGTCCTTCGGTATCCCTCTTGTTCTCTGATTCCACAGATCCTTTAGGACAGCACCTAATGCAAGGCAGTTCCGTTTGCTCTTCTTATAGTGTTCTTTCCCCTATAGAGTTGGACATGCATATACATGTTGTTTGGGGAATTTGCAGCGCATCCAATGAAAGCATAATTCCCAAGTAACAGTCAAATCCTTCTCTTTGGAGTTACCCAGAACACACCTACCCTCTTTTTCATATGACAGCCCTTCAGAGACCTGAAGACAGTGTGTGACTTTCCCCTGAGTTAAGAGCACCAGCTGAGTCAGACAGACCCAAGTGACAAGCCCAGCTTCACTCTCTCTCAGCTGTGAGAGCCAAGGTAAGTTATTTGATTTTATTTTCTCTCCAGTTCAGTTCTTTAGCTGATTTATAAAATGGGGGTGAAAAACCCACTTCTTTGGCTTATTGTGTAATAAATAATGTCATTTATGTAAAGTGCTTAATACAGTGCCTGGCAGAGTGAGCTCTCAGTGACAGCTATTTTCCCCTTTATTATAAGAGCCGGGTGGGCATTTTAAGTGTCAGGGTTGTTGGGGAGCAAGGGGATGGAGAGACTTTCTCCCTTTCTGATTGATCAGGACCCTAAAGTCAACCAGGTTTTTCTTTATTCTGAGGTTGTCTATTTTCAGTTAACTGGGTATGTGTTTGCTAAGGCTGTGGGAAAGGATATTGTTGAGAATTCAGGGAAAGGTTATTTCAAGAGCTGGAAAGCTATTTGTTGACATATTGAACTATCTCTTATTTATTCTTATTTTCTCGAGCAGCTAGCCATGCAATCCCCGAAACTCAATTACCTTTTGTGAAGCAGCAGGAAGCATGACACCTCCTAGCCGTATTGATCAATGCAGACTGGGCAGGACGTGAAGGACCTGGGAGGTGCTAAGCAGTGATTTCTGGGCTTTTCCTTCCTCAGAAGGCCTTCCCTCTCTGTGTTTGTAGAAACACTGGCATTAAAAAAATGGAAGCCTGTGTACCAAATGGGTGAACATGCAAGAACGCTCTGTGTAGTCTCCCTAGAAGCAGACTGATGACAAATGGTCACAATGGACTGGAAGTTGGAATCCTGGAGTGACCAGTGTCAGAATGGTTTTTTAATTGTAGCTCTTTACACATACTGGGTTTTGCTAGAAATTCCATGATATGAACTCTGAATGTCATTAAAGCTAGAAAAAGTTTGGAAGGAGACACACCCAACTGTGAACAGACAGAGGAATGGGACTTGAGGGGATGGGGGGTGGGGTAGGCTCAGGGCTAGCTTGATCTGTATGTAAGATTTCAAGTTTTCTGAGAATATATTTCTAGATTACTTGTGTAAATATTAAACATAAATAAAAGTTAGAAAAACAATAAATCATCTTTCAAAACAAAAACAGCAACAAAATATAAAACAAGCCATTGGAGGCATTTTTCAGAGGTCACTACTGACCATGGATCTAAGTAGTACAGTAAGTTTGTCAGGGAAGAAAGGTTGCTTAGGTGGGGAGATGTTGGAGATACTTAGAGAGAACATACAGAGAGAAGAAGGGAGAGGGCTAGACACAGAACCTAAAGGAAACATACCTTTTCAAAAAATAAAAATAACTTTTCTCCTTCAAATACAAGTAATATGGGTCCATTATAAATAAATGAGAAAATATAAATAAGAAAAACAAAAGCAAAAATCCCCTTTAATCTCATCACTTCGGTATGGTCATTGCTAACATTTTGGTATATATCTTTCCAGACTGTATTTTTTCTATGCAAAAATATACATATCTATTTAATAAAAATCAGATCATCATTTTCAATGGCTGCTACAGATGCACTATGATTCATTTATCATTAAGTGAATTGTTTTCTAACATCAACATATAGGTTATTTCTAATTTTTTATTATCATAAACAACAGTGCTTTCCAGCTGTGCAACCATGGGAAAGCTAACTGACCTCTTTGTGTCTTTCCTCATCTGTAAATGAAGGTGATAATAGTACCTACCTCATAGGGTTGTCGTAACAAGATTATATACATAAAGTGCTTAGCACAGTGCCTGATACATTAAATGTTAGCTTTTATTATTAGGTATAATCATGATTGTTCTTGTTTGGGTTTCTGTGATGAGTTTTTGGTTTACAGGAGAGGGGAAAGCAGTTTGAATTTTTTAAATTTTTGAGTAGTGAGCTCTGGAGTCAAATAGAGCTTTGTGCTTTTGGTCATGTCAATTCACCTTGCTGAGACTCAGTTTTCTTATCTGGGAACTAAAAGGACCTAGATCACAGGGTAGTTAGCATCAAATGAGAGAATGCTTGTAATGCCCTCAGCACAGTTCTTGGTATATGGGAGATCAATTAAGGTCATTTAATATTACTACTACTACTACTACTACTACTACTACTACTACTACTACTACTACTACTACTACTACAATGATTCAGTCATTGGTGGGGGTGGGAGGAGGAAGGTGGCACTGAGTAAAGCACTTCAAGTGTTTCTAACCACTTATCTGACTACAAAGATAGGAAATGATTTTGAATCAGACAGACCCAGGCTCAAATCTGGGCTTTGCCATTTCCTAGCTGTGACCTTGATCATAACTTCTCCAAGCCCATTTCCCCATTTTCTTACCTTGCAGGTGTTGGCATGAAGCCTAAAGGATATAATGCATGCATAGTGCTTAGCCTGAGTGCCCAGGTGTTATTGATTGCTAATTATGAATGTGGGAAGATTTATAATGACCCGAATGCCTCCCCCAAACCCCAAGACTCTTGAGTCCCTATACCTTACCTACTTGAACTTCATCTAAAGGCTTTGCCTTATCCAAGGCTCAGAGACCAATTCTGCCCTAGTCTGGGAGTTTAAGGGGCACTTATTCAGAAGGTTAGAGGGCTCTGGCAAGACTTTCTGCTAGTTTTACTCTGACCTTGTGCCCCAGTTCTAGAAAGTAGGCTGTGTAGCCCTGAGTCTGTGAGCAAGCTCTCACCTGGCGTGCTCAAGATTGGCGTGCTTTTCTTGCCAGCTGTCTGAATGCCCTGGAGCCTCATTGTCAAATCCTAGCTCTGTGACAGTGACACTGGTTGCCAGATTTCCCTCTGGGTCTCTGACACTGGGGCAAATTACGTTTTGTATTATCACCATCAGGGCTCTATCAAGCCCCTATTGCCCATCCTCCCAAACCCTGATTTCCCTGCACTTGACCTCTTGGAACTCTGACACTTCCACTCAGCCTCCATCCCTGGTTCTGTTACCTCTAACCCCTGCCTGTGCTTCTATATCACATCAGTTCCAGTGCCTGTCTTCCAGGGCTCCTGTGTCTGCTCAGCCGCAGAGGCTATCTCTCATTTCTTGAGCCAGGAACATTTCAGTCTCACCTCTTTAATTGTGTGAATCTCCTCTTTTGTTTGGGACAACTAGAAGTGGGTATAGTGGGCTCTTGCAACTATTGGGGGTGAGGGGAAATGGGGTGGAGTTGCATAGGCCAAGTGCTAAAGTGGAGCTTCTGGAGGGCTGTCAAGTGAAAGGCGGCCAGAGGCAAGTGTCAGAGCCTATATAGAGGCAGGAATCTGGGACCAGAGAGACAGAGCAAGCACTAGCAAGTCAGGA